GGGTGACTTAGAAGTATGATTTTATAACAAATGCATTTTAAAAGAATTCTAGAGGAAGAATTTCCTGCTTAAAATCACCAAGTCCACAACATTGAAGTGTTTGTTGGAAACAGCAGTTTTATATACATATTTATACCTTACTGAGAGTAGGTCGCACAAACCTGATTTTATTTAGGGTGGCAGATTAATGGTGTGGTCACAGTTAGTTTCTGAAAGGTCAGGATTTTCCTTGTAGTATGAATTTCAGGTCATCTTAATAAAAGTAAACACATTTACTAATGGTATATGAAAAGACAAGTTAAGGATGTGATTTTATGAACTGCAACGGTTCTCTGTAGGTGGATTTTTTGTTTACGCACATGTACCTATGCACATAACCACAGACACACAAACACGTTTAAAATTTAATTTGTTTTGAGCTGGATCCTGTTTTGATGTCATTCTTCTGTTGTCTTTAATGATATTAGGCCAGTATTTGTATCAGTAAGACTGTCAAAATGTGTCCTTACTGTTCTTAAGAGTGCTGGAATCCAACTTAAATATGAACTTTTCCTGAGGAGCTATGCTTTTTATAATGTGAAAAAAGTCCTATCAGAAATTGTGCAAAATGAAAACAAGAAGGCTGCAAGGAAATTAAGATGTTTGGCTTCTATAACGATATTTAAATCAACATTTAAACTGCTTCTGAAATAGCATTTGCAGATCATCAAATAAAAAGAGGGCCAAGTATACTGGAGCAACATTTAAAATGTATTTTTAATTATTATTCCTGTGAACAAATCTGTTCTATTCAGAAGACATATATTTTTATTCTCTTCTAATTCTTACTCTCTGTATTATATTCTGTATGCATTTTCTAAGGTTCCTGAGAGAAAGGCACTGATTTTTCTGAGGAGTGGCTTGCAAATTTAGCCCACAGTAGCTTTATAATTGAAAAGTAGTTGAATGCTTGAAAGGAGCAAGGTTCAAGATTCCTCTGGAAAAAATATCAGCTTAGTATTTATAACTGAACCTCTGCTAATATCAAAAGCATGCTGAAGCAGGCCTCTGTGGTAAAATTAGCTCTTATGCATAATGTACATTTGAGGAATGTTAAAGGAAGTATGGGGGACAGAGAGGGGAAAAAATATCTTAAAATACATAGGTTGTCAGAAAGTATGGACTCTCCCTGCCTTTGTCAGTCTCCTTTCTTGCAGCCTCCCTGTTGTTTAAAGGTTGGTGCGTATGGCTCGTACATCTGAATATATCTGAGCATCATCTCTAGTTCCAGTGTCAGTGGTGGGCAGTCACAGTGAAAGTGTGCATTCTTCCGTATGGTTCCCCAATTTATGGAGGAAAAAAGTTCAAAATTAAAACTATAGTAGCAAACAGAGAGCTTTAAAAAACCCAGAAACTAAAATATATCCCTGCTCCCTAATGTCTGTCTGTAAATAGATTTTCTTTGTTTGCTGCTTTCTTTGTGGGCATTATTTTCTCTATTCTTTTCAAATCCATCTTTTTATCTGACAATCAGTTGCTCTGCTTCCTCTGCTGCATTTGCCTGTGCTTTGTTATACATCCCCCTGTTATGTACCCATTTGTATTTCATATTCTGTTGTGTTTGTGTATTTTCCATCTCTTTTCTTACTTTGTTCTCCGAAGAGTCACACATTTCTTTCTTTTCTTTTTCCATCAGGAATAATTGTCCCCTCTGCCATCGTGATAGATGCCACACAACTTTCTCGTTTTTCTCTCAACCTTTTTCTTGACAACTTTTTGTACACCAACAGTTGAGGCTGGCAGAAATGTTTGTGGTCTCCTACTTGTCTCTCTTCCCCCATTGTCTTACACCCTCTGTTTTATCTCTTCAGTTCGCCAAAGGAGATGCTACTATTGAATCTGGGTCTTAGTTGAAGGAATTTTCCTTTCCTAGTCCCTTCCTCTGCCACCTCTCACAACAGTGGCCGGTCACCAAAGGCTGATCTCTGCGAAGAAACAAGCTGGGAAGATACAGGAGGTGGGCAGGGAGATCAAAAAGCAGAGCTTACGCTGACTTTTCAGACATGAGGAGAACTGAGGCCTGGGATGGGATGTTCTGCCAGTCCTGGATGCAAGTGAGAGGAAGGAAAGATAATTTTCTAGCTGGCATTACAGCGTGGCAGTTTAGCATTGAAATCTGCATACTTTCTTCTTGCTCATTTTGGATCTCAACCAGTTTTGAATGTGATGTTCACATTAAATGCAGATGTGAGATACACTGAAACATTACCTTGAATGATACTTAAAAAAAAAAAAAAAAGAGCTGATACAATTACAATGTAGTTTCCTTTTTTCCAGTGGTGGTATTTTCTCCTCATACATCACCATTCTTTCTCTTCCCTTTTTCCCGAGTTGCCATAGTGTCTCTACAACAAGCTTTTTTTAAGATACAGTGTTTCTTCTTTAACTTATTTTGCCTGTTCAACTGCCTGAAGTACTTACAAATGAGCTTTCAGACTGAATCAGCTGTATTTTTAAAAGGTTCAATACCATAGGCAAAGGTTAGGGATGCATTAGTTGCATCGGTGTGTTTATGAATCCATTGCCTCAGTATCCTTACGCGTTCAGTACTGCATCTAATGGAGCTGTTTTCTGTGGCCACCTTAGTTGATGCCGCCTTCAGCATTAGCAAACCTGGGGCCTGACCACCGGGCCGCGCAGGCGGGTGCTGCTCGCAGCCTTCCCTCCTTCAGCACGCGTCCAGCTCTGGCCATCGACCCAGAACTGTGCAGGAGTTGCATCGCAATTAAGTGTGCTTATTTATTTCATTTTTTAATTCCTTCCCCTTGAAGTTTTTAATACTGTGATAGCATCTGTGGTTCAGCAAATGGCTATTTCTTTTTTCATGCAGAATATTTCTCTTAAATGTAGCCATGTGACCATTTACACTCTCATCTTGGGTTGTAATTACACGATTAAACAGCAGAGCTCACTAGGAAATGGGGCTTGTCTCCAAAAGCCTCTTTGAGGCCCTTTTGGTCCTGCGTACCATGTGGATCTGTCTGAGGGGACCTGGGCCAGGGCATGTCCATCTGCTTGTGAAGTAGCAGAGACCTAATGGCAGAATGGGCCAAAGCAAGCTGTGGTCACGGGGCTGGATTGGGAAACAGACGCTACAAGTTTGTTAATCAGAAAAACTGCAGTATCTGTGCTTGTCTGGAGTGTGGACAGGCCCTGGCACAGGGTGACCACCCTAGGTTCACTTCGTGGTAACCACGACAGGCAAGAAAGATGATCATGGTCCTTCCTTGCTGCAGCATCATCCTTCATACAAGAGCTCTGGTGTCTCCTGTCACGGAGACAGGCAGAGAGGGTTTCTAGAGTCTGAGTCTGAGTTGTCGCCACTTATGAGGTGCAGCGTGCACACCACGTGCTCTGCCGAGGGGACTTGTGGCCTTCAGAAGGCTCCCTGGAGCGTCTGGCCACCTGCACATGCTCCAGCTCCTCGTGCTACAAGGAGAAGAGCCCTCCCCAATCATGTCTTTTTTTGTAAAAGTGAACACATCCATACCATGAGATCCTCTGGTTTGTGGTGATAGGGAAATGCTTTGAAGAGTCATGAGCATAACTAAGGATTTCAAGCTTACATTCAGCATTTCAGGACTGCTGTGTCCTTCCAGCTGAGACTCGGTCACTAGGATAGAGCATAATCGCCACCTGCTTTCTCTTCTTGCAACACAAATTTAATTCCTGTGGTCCATGTGTGGAGAATAATCTATAAAGAAGTAGTAGGCTGGGCGACATGTGTTCAGAAACCCTACCGTTTTTAGGAAGCTCGCACATCTTCTGTTGCCATCGAGCACTTGACTGTGTCCCAGAGGAGTACCAACACTGTGTATAAATCGATGGTCACGATGATCAACGACATTCAGAAGGTTGAAAGATTTCAAATGAGGCAATTTTTATAAACTCTACAATCACTCTATTCTCTATGTGGAAAACGAATGCCCTTTTCTCTTAGTTTGTCAAAAGGTAGGCAAAACCAAAGAAGCTTCTTCAGAAAATATTGATAGGTATTTTGT